CGGCTCGCGCAGCAGCAGCAGCAGCAGCAGCAGCAGCAGCAGCAGCAGCAGCAGGCGCGCGTTTTGGGGGCCGCGGGGCCGCGCAGGACGGTTGAGGAGCAGCTGGAGGAGCACTCGGCTCGGCTGGACCGGAGGAATGGGGGGCGGCGGCAGTCGCTGGATGACGATTTGCTGTGAGCGCTCTGAGCCTTGAGTGGGCACTGCTGCATGAGCGTGTTTTTTTTGCGTGTGTGTGTGCGTGTGTGTGTGTGCGTGCGTGTGTGTGTGTGCGTGCGTGTGTGGTGCGTGCGTGCGTGTGTGTGTGTGTGTGTGTGTGTGTGTGTGTGTGTGTGTGTGTGCGCATGCGCGCACTTGCTGATTTGTCCAGGCAGGCTCACAGGCCATCAGGTCATCCTATTGATGTCAGCCCCCTAACACGCCCCGACAACCGGCAAGCAGCCAGCCTCTCGCTCGCGACCCTGACGGCCCCTGGTACAAACACACGACCTGCAAACACCGGGCGCACCCACCTGCAACCCTGCAACCCCCACATTCTTCCGACCTGTCCTCTCCCCCTCCTCTTGCCCTTTCCCCCATCCCCAGCCCCGTCTTGCCTAAACCTTAACCTAAACCCTCCCCCATCCCCAGCTGTGTCGTGTGTCTGGAGCGCCCCCGGGACGTGCTGCTCATACCCTGCGGCCACTGCGTCCTCTGCAGCGCCTGCTGCGCCGACGTGCGGGCTGGGAACGACGAGTGCCCGGGTGAGGCGGCCCTCGGCGGCCCCATGTGTCACCCCACCCCTCCCTCCCCACCCTGTTCGCATCCTCAACCCCCTGCCGCGCCTGCTCATGCGCCCCTGTGTGGTTGGGACGCCCCTGGTCCGCTGTCCAAGGGCTGCTTTTGGCCCTCAGCAGGGGACCAGGGCCAAAACGGGGCCCGCGGGCGCCTCATGTGCCCCCATGCGGCCCCCAACCCCCTAGTGGCTGGCCACCTTGGCCCCGACTCAGCCTGCGCTCGCCGGTCTTTGGACCCCCTCCGCGGCCGACGTCCAGCAATTTTGCCTCATGTGCCCCCATGCGTCCCTCGCCGGCCCTCACCGCCCCAAAACCGCAGTGTGCCGAGACACGATCACTGTGAGTGGGCAAAGGGTTTAGGGTGTAGGAGTTCGGGATCGAGGGCTTGACGCGGGGCACCCAGGCGCTTACTGTTTGGCCGCAGCCCCGCTTGCTTGCAGCTCTCATCCCTCGGTGCTGGCCAGACCCGAGGCGCGCCGCGCCAGCCAAGGGCGCTTGCCGCACTCGTCGCCCGCCGGCAAGGCCGGCGTTGACGCGTCTCCTCTGCCATGCGCGTCTCCTGTGCTCTGCACTTTCGAGGCGGCCGCTTTTGGTGCCAGGCTTTCTGGAGGGACCCCTCGCCTCCCGGGGACCACGCAAGCGCCCCCCTCTGCCTCGTCGCACGCAGCCTCCGTCCCCCCCTTCCTCTCACGTGTCCCCGCCGCCCCCCACTCCCCTGACCACTCCAAAGGAGGACCATCGTATCAAGGACTGACCGCCTGCCCCCCGCGGCCATCTGCCTGTTTTGGGCGCCGGCGCGTTCTTGCGCATGCAGCGCCCCGTCGCGCGGGGGCCCCGGCCGTTGCCTGGCGCGGCGGCAAGCTTTGTGTGTTGCGCGTGCGCACGACATTGGACCGCACGGCGCATACGGCTCACTTATTTTGGGCGAAAGCTGCAGCGCTGGGCGCATCCCCTGCTGGACTGCTGAAACATTTTTGTTAGTTGACTTTTGTTGGTGGCCTTGCTGGCGTGTCGATGCGCCGCAGGCAACTGTTGGGACGCGAAATCCTGCGATACCAGGGTGGCTGCGGTGCAGCAGGTGTGCATCACCTCAGATTACCGCTCCATTGCGGGCAGTACCGTCTGCAGAACTGTTGTATTTGCAGGGTTGGTTTCAGAGAGATGTGTGTGTATGTGTGTGTTATGGTGCGTGTGTGTGTGTGTGTGCACATGTATGTGTGCGTGCGTGTGTGTGTGTGTGCGTTCATGCGTGCGTGTCGGGCGACCAAGTTTGCTTTGATTTGGAGGGGCAGCGCTGGCGATTGCAGACAAAATGCTTCTGCTCTCCGTAGCAAGTACCGCCCTCACAGTTGTTTGTACCGCGCCAATTCGCCGGGCAATTATTAGCTTGATATTGCTTATCCACAAACCTTGCATGCGTTGCAACCATCAACACTTGTTGGGCATGCAGCGCAGCACGGCTGCAGCAGGCTTCGACAGTAAGGGAATCAAGCAGTGCCCGCCACCATGGCAGCGGCCACGCACTGTGCCCTGCAACACAACCAAGAACAGGCGCTTCAGTAATGAACTTCCAACAAACGATTGCACCCACTAGGACATAATGCATTAGAAGTCAACAGTGCAGAACCGAAAACAACAAGGCAGGCTGATGAATGCTGTATTGCAATTTGGGGGTTTGCTGATGCGCGAGGGTAGTGCAGCAAACTCTCATGACTTGTGCAAAAACAATCTGCGGGCGGCATGCAGGAGTGCATGGAGGGGGCCGGTGCTGGACCTTCTTGGGTTGATGCATGTGTGTGGATTTGTGTGTCTATGCGCCCAGCTACATGGCAAAACGAGGGTGCATCCTGCCCTAGCCCCCTGCAAATTGTGCTACTCAGACCGAGCAAAGGGATGGTGCGGCCCAGCATCCGTATACTGGTGTACAAACCGTGCAGCGCCGAGTGGCGGGATCGGCGGATGAATGCATGCGTCCCGGAAGAGATTGGGCAAACTCCACGCCGCCTACCCCGCCAGCTGGGCGACCTCCGCCGCCGCCAGCGCAAACATCCCGACGCAAAAGTCGCTCGTGATCTCTGCTTTGATGTTCCTGTGCGGCCGGTCGCCCCCCGACTGGCACCACCCCACGCGGCCCGACGGCTGCAGCGCGACGCGGCTGAGGCACTCCCAACCCCGCCGCACCGCCGGCAGGTGCGTCCGTGCGTCGAGCAGGCCGGCCCTCATGCCGTACGCGAGCGCGTGCACGAACATGGCCGTGCCTGTCGTCTCTGGCACTTTGAAAAAACCAGGATCAGTCAGCGACACCGGCCAGCAGCCGCCGACGCCGCCGCCCTGCAGGCTGACCAGCCGCGCCGCGAGCCGCCGCAGCGTCCACGCGTAGCCCTCCGCCGCGCGGGCGCGGGCGGGGGACGCGGGGGGCGGCCCGCCCGGCGGGGCCGCGTGGCGCAGCGCGGCGACGAGCGCGCCCGCGGCCCAGCCGTTGCCGCGGGACCAGAACACGCCCTCCTGGTCGTGCGCCCGCTTGGCCGGCGGGTCGCGGTAAAACAACGAGTCGCGCTCCGACCACAGGCCAAAACCCGTAACCGCCCTCTGGAAGTTGCGGTGCATGGTCTCGAAGTATACCTCGTCGCCGGTGGCCGCGCCCATCCGCGCCCAGACAGACATGGCCATGAAGAGCGTGTCTACCCACTGCCAGTGCACGTCGTCCGAGGCTGCCTCGGAGCGATACCTCGTCGCGGCGTCGGCCAGCCAGATCGGGTCGCGCTTCCCGAGGGGGGCGGCCAGGTAGGTCTGGGCGTACGAGGCGGCGCAGATCTGGTTGTCGGGGTTGAGCTCGCCGCCGCCGCGTCCGTTGGGGCTGCTGTGGGGGTAGTGATAGCGAGGGAGGGGCAGGGAATATGTTTACTTCCATAGTGTGCCGTGGTTGGTTGTGGACGGGCCGCAAAGGCGTGGGCGCTGTGGCAATATGCAACCCAGGTTAAAATGTGGGGCCGGCGTGTTCGCTCCGGCAGTTGCGACACGCGGGCGCGCGGCGCAGGGCAGGTCCACGTTATCAAAAGCAGGGCTGCCGCAGCGGCAGTTCGAGGGTCGCTCACCAAAGCTTCCATGAGAAGTCGTCCCCAAACTTCCTGCCCCATTCCCAGAGGCCCTCTGCTGCGGCGGCGCTCTCGTTGCGCTGCGCCAGCACCTCCTGCAGCGCCAGCACCCCCGTCATGAGAGTGCCGTGCTCCCAGCCGCACGACGCGTGCGTGTAGTTGGTCAGCTCCTGCCAGTAGCGCACGGCCCTCAGGCCGTCGGCTAGCACGTGCTGCCGCGGCGGGAGCGCGGCCGCTGCCGCCGCCGCAGCAGCTGCTGCTGCTGCTTCCGGCGCATGTTGCGCCGGCAGCGGCGCAGACCTGCCGGCAACCGCTGGCAGTGCAACAGCCAGAGCTAGGAGCAGCCTGGCGAGGGAACACATGGTACAGCACACCCTAGATTCACGGTCTTCTGACCAATGTTTGCGATCAACACGGTGAGCCCCGCGGAGCCTCCAAGCGAAAGAGGTGTTCGGGCAGCGGTTTCGTCGAGCTTTCACAAACTTTACCGTGTGAACGAAGGCAATTCAGCATTATCCATCCCTCTCGCTCCAAGGCACATGGCCCATCTCTCCGCATTCGCTGCTTGCGGCCGCTGTGCTGCGACAGAGTGTGGTGTTTTGGAAGGGACGGCAGCGTTGGCATCACACGTGACCTACAAGTTCAGGTTTGATCTTATATACACACCTCCTACCCGAACCTTTGCTGGAAACACTCAAGGTTACATATTGTTGCTCATCGGGACCATTGAAACAGCATCCATTCAATCATCCAAGCCCGTGGCGCGCATCGCTGCACGGGCACCGACACCCAATTCACTTGCGGCAGTTGGTCGCTTCAAATCGATGCCTTGACCAGGAAGGCGCCACACATTTCTGGCGGCATGGCATAGAGACGAGAGATTTGACACAAGGCTCCACTCTGCACTGGTCAAAGCTGGCTGCATGGCATGGATTGCAACACGAGATCTTGCGCAAGGCGTGAGGCCTGATTGGTCAAGGCTTGTGTCGGCATCCGCCTCTGGATGTTCATGGCGCTTACGCAGCGCTTGGCAAGCACAGTGTGCAAGAAAAATCCCAAGGCCCGATGCAAGGCGCATGATGCGCCGATGGACAAAGGGATCCTTTTGAGGGGTGCGTGCGCGTGGTGGGGGCTGGGCATGTGACGGTTTGGTGCTGGCTGGCGCACATGCTGCGCAGGCGGCTTGTGAGCAGCTGCCTTACAGCTTCTTCTTCTTAGACCCGCAGTCAAAAACGTGGGTGTAGTCATCGCCAAGCTCGATGCCCTCCTGATATGTGGGTTTGGTAATGAGCAGTTTGAGAAGATTGGAGAACCTCAGTGAGAGCAGCTGTGGGTTGTGTTGCTGCAGGATGCATCGTGGCGGCTGCCAGCTGCCCTGCATTGGCAGCAGGCAACGCAAACAGGAAGCCTGCTGGATTTTGGTGGAAACATATTGGCACGTTTGTTTTCAGCAGAGACAAGCTGCATCTTGCTCCTTGAAGCAAGCACATTCCTTGTAGCGCCTGGAATCTGAACTTTCCAAGCCTGAACCCATGCAGCCAGCTCACCGGCATGTTCTGCTCCCGGAACCCAAATTTCCTTTGGAAGGGGTTGTATTAGGAGGGAGGGTAAGGAAGGAAAATAAGCATGCAGTGTTGTAATACAAGCCAGTGCACGCTCACAGCAGTGGGAGAGCAGGCTGTGCGGGGGTCAGTCCTCCAGCAAAGCAACACCTTTGGCCCCGCCATTGCCGTCCTTGCGGCGTGCTTAGCAAATGTCTTGCTGTGTATAATGCGATCATGGTGGGCTGGCTCCCAAAGCATCATACGTAAGGGAAACATCAATCGATAAATCACCCCTCAGCAAACATCCTATCCAGCTATATGATCAGCACAATGCCGCCCAACCCCACAGCTGCACACGCTATCTCAACAAAAGGCATGGAGCGCGGGCCCGCGCAGGCTCACCTGGCGTCCACCTTCTCAAAGGTGTCCTCGCCGTCCCAGCAGCCCTTGACGCACTCGGGATCGCCTGCGCGGGGATGGCGCGCGTCCGCCCGTCAAGGCGTCGCCATTTGCTGCATTGAGGAGTCCCTGGGCCGCTCAGCAGGGCCCGCCCAGCGCCAGGGGCGGCATCCCAATGCGGGCAGTCGTCAAATCTCGCTTCTTGTTGTGTTGTTAATTTCTGAGCGCACCCTTCTCATTGGCATACGAGTAGAAGACGGTGTTGCGGGTCTTGGCGACCTCCTTGGTCTGGCCTGGGGGGTGAGAGTGTTGATTGTGGGGAGGTCAGGACAGCCCTTGAGATAGCTGGAGGGGATGATGACGATTTGGTGCTGCAGCAACCGGTTGCCCTTGTGCATGTGAGGGGCGTCGTGCACGTGAAAGGGGTGCAAGGCGGCGGCAACGTTTGAACGTCTGATTGCACCTGTATGTCAATGCTGCATCCCAAGCCACGCCCAAATCGCGTGAGCTTACGCGTGCCGCCTTGCGCCGACATTACTGCCGCCCAAGCCCCAGGCGGACCGCACCGCTCGAACCCCCCAAACTCACCGGGCGCGAGGGCGACCCAGGGGCCCGTGACCCACTCTCCGTCGAAGTCCTTGTAGTGCACCGCGGCCACGATGGGCATGGTGCACTCGTTTGAGTACTGCAGGCTGATCGCGTCGTCGCCGGCATCCTCTGAGCCGGCGGGGCCGGACTCGTCCTCCTTCTTGTCCTCTGTTGGTTGTGTGTGTTTTTTGCGTGAGGGTGGGGCTGGGGGGGTGCGCGTGTGGGCGTGTGCGCGTGTGTGTGCGTGTGTGTGCGTGTGTGTAGTCGACAGTGTGTGAGTGAATGCGTGCGTACAAAGGAAAGAGAGAGCAAGACAGGTGAAGCGAGAGAAAAAGCGAGCGAGTGCGAGCGAACGAGAGCATGTGTGTATACGCGTGTGTGTGTGAGTGGGCGCGCACGTGTGTGTGTGTGTGTACCTGCGCACGCTCACGGGTGCGTACGTGCTTGCTGATTCATAGTCTCACAACACGAATGGCATCGCCTTCGCCGTCCGTTGTCGCCAATCACCCTGAAACGGCCACACCTCCCGCCCCCTCTTACACCCAACACTCACCGTTCAGGATCCCGCTGACGCACTTGGGGTTGTAGGTGCTCTTGCCCTTTGAGTCCTTTGAGATAGAGTCGGGGAGCGCCGCCATCAGGGAGCAGGTGCCGGCCTTCCAGCAGAACGACCAGGTCTGGTTGGGGGGCAGCGGCGCATTGGTTTGGTTTAAAAGTCAGTTTGTTGGTGGTTTCTGCCCATTGGTGCAGTGGGATGCCCACTGCGGTGCTTTGGGGGGGGGGGGGGGTTCCTGCCAACGAGGCACGTGCCAGCGAGCGATGCCAAGGCATGGACGATGGCCGTACTCTGCAGATTGTGTGTGGGCCTTGCTATCCGCCTGCCGCGCGAGCGCTTCTGCTGGGAGACTCCGGCTGACCATCCCCAGAACGCCGCCCCCAAGCACTGGATAAGCGGTCCCTCACGCGCCGCGCAGGCACGAATGGGACCGCGTTTTGCGCATGTGCGCGCCGCACCTTGCACGTCGCGCCGATGGCACCCGCGCACAGCGCGGCGCACTTGGTGGCATCCGCGGGGTGCGCGCTGAGCCGCTGCTTCATGATCTCGTGGTTGTCATTCCCGAGGTCGGTGGTGTAGAAGTAGGTGAAGCGGGCATCCTCTGGGGTGGGCGGTGGCACACGACCCGCCGACGCCGCGCCTGCGGAGCAGCGAAGGCGGCAACGGCAGCGGTGGGAGCGGGGGCAGGGGTGCAGAGTGTCGGCACGGGTGAGGCTGAAAAGGCGATTGCGAAGATGCTGCCGCTTTGTTCTGGGCATTTGTTCTTGGGAGCTGGTCAATCCCAGACGATGTGGGCGCTTAGGCGCTGGCTGAGTGGCGTGAAATGAAACATGCATGCGGAGCTGCTGCTTGGTGGTTTGCAGGCGCCGCAGCCGCGGTCTCGCCCTGCTGAACGCACATGTAATATGAAACGGAATAAATGCGCGACCCAATTGTACTGCTCACTCGCAAGGGCGAACAGGGCGAGAGCGCCGAGCATACACGCGGTCCGCATGGTGGGCGACGATCTCGCGACGAAGGAATGCAAGCAAGCAACCAACAAACGGCGTCAAGACCTGATTTCTTGGTTCTTACCGCTGAGGTTGGCTTCCCGTGCGTGAGCAGCTGCTTTTGGGCTGCAGCAGCTCGAAACCCCAAACCAGTACAAGTCAACCCAACCCAGGCATGTACCACCCTCCAGGCGCTCCCTCCCTCGACGCCCGTCACCGCACCGCAAGTGCTGCGCATGATTGCCATAGCAGCCTCAACATGGTGCCAGCAGATCGGTTCACTCGGGGGCGCGGCCCAGCTGCGTGCGGAAGGCCGCATCGAGCTGCGCTTGAATGCCACGTCATCCAAGCCCGTGGACTGCGCACGTCCGACAGATGTCTTACATACATGCGGCAGGTCTGGTTCAACAACTTATGTCAGCCCTCACACACTACAAACAGCTCATAGAGTTGGGCAGCGGCCAGCAGCACCAAGCTTTGTCCGTCGCCAACGGTCACACTGACGACTCGTCGTCAGCGGCGCTGCCCGCCGGCTGGTAGACAGCACCGGTAGGCTGTGTCGCAATCTTTGCATTTTTGAGATGCCATTTGATCAATATATTCGCAACGCCTAGCCATGGACGGCCGAGCCCTGCTGATGCACGCAACACTCGTACCCTCCACGACTTCTACAGCAGAGAGCGGCAAACCCATAACTCGCAAGACTCATGACATGACCGCAGACCGAATTCACTGAGCTGGATGGCCTGACAGATCATTCACACATATATCAGAGCTGGGTTCAGGAAAGCCCGGGCTGCAAGATGGGGAACTGCACATCGCAGGCTGTGGCGGTAGCACCGCAATCTATAAAGAGTGCTTATACAGACACAAGCCGAGAAGAGGTGGGCCTGCAAACTGCAGCGTCCGGCCCATGTGCAGCCATCAGCTGGGGGCGCTGTGCCGCATTGCATTGCAGCGGAGATGTGCGCATGCCAAGCCTTTAGCGCAAAAGGGCAAGGCATTGCTGCTGATGTTTGAGTGCGGCATGCATGAGGCATGGCGGCTGCAGTGGATGGCAGCAGCCTGCGCGTCACCCAACCCCTTGGCAACTTTGCGTCACCCCCCCCCCCCCCCCTTTCACGGCTCCTCTTCCCATGCTCGGGCAATCCCCCCTCTCTTCCCCCTCACCCCATTCAAAACTTGGACCCACCTTCCCACCCGTCGCACGCCCGCAAAATTCCGCCTGCCCTGTCCACCCACCCAGCACGACGCCGCGGCGCCAGATGGGTACCTGCTTGACGCTCAGCACGCAAAGCACGACATCAGGGGCAAGTACGAGATCAAGTCGGTCCTGGGCCGCGGCTCGTACGCCACCGCGCGCGTCGCGGTAGAGAAGGGCACGGGCCGCCACTTCGCCTGCAAGACGATCTGCAAGAAGGGGCTGTCAGAGGACGAGCAGCGGCGCGTGCGGCGGGAGGTGTCTGTCATGTATCACCTGGCAGGTGCGGCGCGAGCCCCGGCCGCCCGCATGGCGCCGCATGGGGGCCGTCGCTGCTCGCATGGCGCTGCATGGGACCCGCATGGCGCTGTATGGGGCTCCGGCCGCCCACAAGTCGCCGCATGGGCCCGCGTCGCTGCTGCGTGCGGACGGTGGCCCCGCGTCGTGCGCCCGCCCCCCATCTGCCCATGCCGCGCCCGCGCATGCGCTCGTGTGCGCGCTTCCCAGGCCACCCCAACGTGATAAAGCTTGAGGATGCGTTTGAGGACGACACATACGTCCACCTGGTCATGGAGCTGTGCTCAGGGGGCGAAATGGTCCAGCGGATCCTCAACAAGGTGGGAGGGCCGCGCCGGAGCCAGGCCGCCACCAGGGCCTGACAGATCACCGTGCTGCGATGGGCGTGCAGGGGCGGCCGGTTGCGGGCGGCGGCGCTTCGCTTGGCCACCTCCTGGGGTGCGCATCGGTGGGCGTCGCCGGGCCCTGCTGTGCGGGGGCGCTCACCCGCGTCCGGCCGCGCGCCTGGCCACGGCCCGCAGGGCGCGTACACCGAGCGCGGTGCGGCGGCGATCATGCGGTCGATCCTGGAGGCGGTGGCGTACGCCCATGACATGGGCTGCATGCACAGGGACATCAAGGTGCGCCAGTGCGCCATGAGGTCTGTTTGCTTCAGCAGACGCGTGTGCTGTCACATGGTGGGGCGGGCTTGGCCGCAGCCGGAGCGGCGGCGTGGCTGTGGTCGGCGGTGGTGCCATCGCCCGACTGCTTTTTGTGTCTTGTTCCGGCCGAAGCAACACTAGACGGCGCCCGCGTCTGACGCTGCCTCGCGTTCCCGGCCGCCGCTCGTCCCCGCCGCGCCGCCCCCGCGCCCCTGTGGCGCCCTGCGCGCGCGCAGATCGACAACTGCATGCTGCTTGATGCGTCTCCAGACGCGCCCGTCAAGCTGGTGGACTGGGGTTTCAGCTCGTTCGTACAGCCGGGCAAGAAGCTGCACAAGCTCTGCGGCACCATTGCGTACCTAGCCCCGGTGCGTGGGCGGGAGCGAAAGGGGACAGGCGTCCGCCCGCGCCGGCCGCAGCGGCAGGGAGACCCCGGGTTGAAGCGACAGCTCAGCATCGGCACGAGGGGCGGCAGCCGATGCCCGTTGGCCCAGTGCTTTTTCTCTTTGCAGCCGAGCCCTCATTGTTTCCCCTGGCTTGCGGCGGTTGCTTTTCCTTTCCCTGGGGTGTGCGAGCAGGAGGTGGTGGCGGGCAGCTACGACGAGCGCGCCGACGTGTGGAGCTGCGGGGTCGTCCTATACGCGATGCTGGCCGGCAGGTGGGGGGGCGCATCGTTCTTCACAGCGGGCGGCGATCTCACATCCGAGATCTGAGATTCGAGATCCCTGGCCTTGTTTGCTGCCGCGCCCGCCCCGACGGGCGTCCCGGCGCCCGCCAGCGCCGCGCCGCGACTGCGCCAGTCGGCGGGGGGGCCTCCTGCCGAGCGCTGCTCCGTTAGGCCCGCCTCCCCCAGGGCTTCTGGGGTTGCAGGTTCAGGGTTGCGAGACACGCCGCGCGGGCCCGACCCTGCGGGCGCACGCGACCCAGCCCTCCTGCATCCTGCGCCCCCCCCCCCCTCCTCCCTAGGCTGCCCTTCAACGGCAGCACCCAGGAGGAGGTCTTGAATATCATCAAATCAGACACCAAGGGCGTCCCAGACATGTGGGTGCGGCGCGCATCCGAAAGCGGGGTGCGGGCGAGAGCTGTTGTTGCCTACCCCAGCCGCAGCCGGCCGCCCACGGGACCCCTGGCGTACGCAGATGCCGGGGTTTGGCTGCTCCTGGTGCTCGCGGGCGCTGCTGCTGCATCCCCACACACCTTTGCGTTTCGTGTCCCCCCAGTTTGCCTTGCTGGCGCGCCCCGACTCTGCTCCGCGCCCCCAGGAGCGGCAGCGCGTGGGCGGCCGTCAGCGAAGCGGCCAAGTCGGCGGTGCGCGCGCTGATGACGCGGGACCCACGGCGGCGCCCCAGCGCGCGCGAGGCGCTGCGGCTGGATTGGATCCGCGAGTGCGGGGCGGCGGGGGACAACCCCATTGACATCGAGCCGGAGGTGGGGGGGGCCTGATTGGGGGCCAGCAAAACCATCGCCCACGCCCCTGCTGGCTGGCGTGGCGGGCTTGGACATGGGGCCAGCGCGGGGCTGCCCGGCGCCTCCGGCCCGCGCGCCCGCCTCGCGCGGGGCGCTTGGCGCATGTGGTGCCGCTTGCTCGGACGGCCCCTCGCGCCCCCCCACAAGCCCGCTCACCCACTCCACAAAAGCCCTCTGCCACGCTGCACGCCGCCCTCCGCCCCTTCCGCCCAACCGCCGCCCAACCGCCGCCCAACCACCGCCAGGTGCTCCACCGGATGAAGGACTTTGCCGGCATGGCCAAGCTCAAGCGGCACGCGGCCATGGTGCGCCCTCGCAAACCTGCAGCAACACCCATCCCCTCATCCCCCTTCCGCCTGACTTGGCGTCTCTCCTCAGCCTCATGCTTCTGGACCGGGCTCGGCGCGTGCCGTTGGGGCTCGCCCCGCTCTACTGGCTCCTCGCACGCCTCTCGTAACAGAGTCTGTTGCCGCGGCCCCAGGCGTGGGAGCGGACACAGGCCTTTCTTGAATCAATGACCGATGTAACCACAAGAATCCCTCTCTCTCACACACACACACACTCTCCCTCTCTCTCTCTCTTTCTCTCTCTCTCTTACACACACACATCCAAACACACACACACACGCACGCACCTTGTCACACGCTGCCACCGCGCGCGCAGGTCATTGCGAAGCAGCTGCCCGCCGACCAGGTCCTCGGCCTTAAGCTGCTCTTTGAGTCGATGGACCGCGACGGCGGCGGCGCCGTCACGGCGCGCGGCCTGCGGGACGCGCTGGGGCGGCGGGGGTGCCCCAAGGTGGCGCGGGCGGAGCTTGAGGATCTCCTGGCTCACGCGGTGATAGGATGCGCTCAGTCATTCCGCTGCCGCGGGGTTGTAGGTCGCCACTGATAGCAACACTCGGGGCTATCGGCCCTTTGTATTGGCCCTTCAAATTGCATTTTCATGGTTAGGGACGGGCTTTGGGGCCTCAAGAAAGCAGCACCCCCACCCCCACCCCCACTAACAACAACAACACTGCCCATCGCCGCCACCATCGACACCGCAGGACCTTCACGGCACCGCACGCCTTGACTTTGCAGAGTTCGTCGCCGCCGCCCTCCACCACTCCGTCCTCGCGGACGAGTCCTACGTGCGCCTCGCGTTTGACCACTTTGACCGCGATCGCGACGGCCGCATCAGCGCGGCGGAGCTGGCGGCGGCGCTGGCGGAAGACGGGGAGGCGGCGGGGGCAGCGGAAGCGGAGGGGATGCTGGCGGAGGCTGACGAGGACGGGGATGGGCGCGTGGATTACAAGGAGGTGGGCTGCGCGTGTGTTGTGTGTGTGTACGCGCGCGCGCGCGCGTGTGTGTGTGTGTGTGTGTGTGTGTGCTGGTTTGTGTGGATTTTTTTGCGCCATGCACAGACCGCGGTGGGCGCTGTGTGCGTGTGTGTGGGTGTGTTTCGGTGTGTGGGTGTGGGTGTGTGAGAGTGTGTAATCTGTGTATGTGGTGTACGTTACGTAACGGTGTGTGTGTTTGTGTTTGTGTGTGTGTGTGTGTTTGTGTTGTTTTGTGTGTTGTGGTGTGCAAGGTTGTGACCAGTCCGTAAATGTGTTCGTGCTTGAGGGGAGGGTTGAAAGGGACACAGAAGCGTGCACCCACGCAGTGCGCGGGATGGGGCAACGACACATTCGCAGAGCCCCAGCATCCTGTGCATCACGGTGCTGGTGTCGTCCTTGGCACCGCCCCAACCAAATCCCCCTGCATTTTCCCAATGCGCACCTGCCGCCTCCTCACCCCCCCTCGCCGGCCCGCGCCCCCCGCAGTTCAAGCACATGATGCGGCGCGGCGGCTGCACGGACGCGGCCGCGGGCGCCGGGGGCCCTGTGTTGGCGCTGGGGAGGGCGGGGTCTGAGGGCTACTACGACCTGTACTGACAGCACACGGCCGGCCGCGCCCGCGGCGCCGCCACATGCTCACTGTCCAAAAGGACCCTTGGCCGACCCTTGTCCTGCGGGCACCCTACCACCGTTCCCCCCCTTGCTCGCCGGCGGAGCCCGCGCGCGGCCGCCACGGCGCGGGCCCAGGGCGCCCGGGCGCGGCGCAAGCGCGGCGCACGGCCCCTGACTGGGCTACGGCCGCCGGCGCGCGTGATCGTTGCACGAAACCAGACACAGGGGGCGGGGCCCTTGCCGGCATGCGCGTCCGCCGCCGGCACCTTACGCGTGCAGCAAATTGGGGCGACGAGCGCGTCGCGTGAGAGCGGCCCCGTCGCCGCCGTTATTTGGCGCCTGCGAGAGCTGCAGCTTGACCGAGCGCACACGCCCGGCGGACGTAGCAATGGGACGCAGGACAACGGCGCGGCCTGGACCGCCTTGGGGCGGCGACGGTGCCCGGCGGCCGCGCCCCCCGCGCGCGCGTCATGGGCATTCTTTGCTCCGCTCATCCAACGACCTCTCTGATCAAACCAACCGATAATCTCACCCTTTGGCTAAGAATACACTATTCGTTTACCTCACTGGCGCGACACCAGAGCACACATGCGCCGGGCGAGGCAGAATGCAGCAGCACACACACCCACCTCCCGCACGAACGTGCGAGGCCCGGCAGCCCCCCGCGCGCGGCCCGCCAGCGGCCATTTACACGACGACCTGCCCGGCGGCTGGCCCCCGGGGGGCCGTGCGCGGCGCGCGCCTCGGGCTGGCGGGCTGTTCTCACAGCCAGTCACGCTCTCTGCGATTGACCACGGCCGATTGTCGGCGCCCAAACGACCCTATTTCGGCACCGCTCACGCGCACCTCGCCCGCGCCGCTGAACGAGCGGCGCGGGCGCGGGCGCGGCGCAGCGCCGCCAACGCATGTCCGCACCCGCCCAGGCCGCCGCTGGCGCCGGGCGCAGCGCGCACCACCTCCGATCGGCGGCGTCACCCCACACACGCATGCGCGATCGATCGTGCCTATTTTTCCAAACGAACTGCGGAAAGGGCTCTTCAGGCCCTTGCACCAGCGGCGAGTGGCAAGAATTGTCACCGCCCCCACCCTTGCATTATTCCTGCTGTCGTTTCCGCAAGCCCCATCCTATGCGGCGCAGGCGGGCGGCCCACCTTCAGCCCCCTCCCCCGCCAGCCCGAGCGGCCCCGGCCCCGCTGCGGGGCCCCGGGCCGCCCCGCACGCGCTCACAATCGCGGCCGCCAGCACCGAGCGAGCGCGCCCCGCAGCCGATTTTGCATGTCGGCGCACGGCGGCGCCCCCGTACGTAGCGTGCCCGCAATTGTTTCATCATCTGCTGCACTGCGCTGCCTTCTTTGATAGACCCAAGCTGTGAGCTGTGCAGGACGCCCTTCTTCCCTTTTTCTTTGTCTTGAGGCCCTTTTTGATCCCCAGCGCACCACTGAAACAGCACCAGCCACCAACTGCCGGCAGCGTCTCTGCGCCCACCCCTGCAGCGCGAGGCGCAGTAGGCCTATGTAGTCCCACCTGGATACCCTGCGTTTGCCATAGCCCCTTCCCCTCACTACAAGGCCACCGGGTGATGGTTGCGCTGTAAGCTGCTGGCATAAGCCCGTGACCATGTCATGTCGTCAGGATCAAACCAACCAGGACGCTGCGGAAGCCCCACCTCCGCTCGATGCGCGTGCGCCCTGTGCGCCAGCCTGCTTGTGGCACACTGGGGCGGCTCGCTTTGCAGCGCTGAGCCGGGTGGCCGGCGACACGCCATGCTGGGAGGAGGTGGGGGCTGGGCGGCGCGGCGCGGGCAAAGGTCAGAGTCTCAGGCGTGTCACGGGGTGCACCCTGCTGCTGGGGGCGTTGTGGGTTAGGGGTGGGTCAGGGTGGTGAGGGGAGCGCTTGTAGTTGTTGTGTTTTTGCCGTTGGTTCGTTTTCTCAATGGTAGATTTGGCTTGTCGGTCACAAGTCGCAGCCCCGCCCGGGCCCAATCAGGGCGGCCTCGACCAGTGGTTGGGGCTAGGCGCAGCGGCTGAATTAGCTAATGGTCGGCGCGCACTGGCGCCAGGTGAGCCATGGCGATTTGCGGCTGGGACGGCAGCGGCGGCGGCGGCAGGAGGGTGTCTACAGGCATACATTTATACAAGTAAGTGAATTGTTCAACCTAATCAGTGGTAGTGAAAGGCCAGGTGCGCAGGCGTTGTGTCGTCAATGCAGGTCTGGCATGCGTCAACGGGCGGGTGAATCGGCGGGGCGTCATACCGTGGTGATTGCGACCCCCAACGGAGCCCGCCAGGGCCAGGCGTGCAATCATTACCGCTCAGATACGCGGATTTCTCAAATTCGGCGACATCCATGCCTAATCCGTGCCCGTTGCCTCGAGGAAGTTCAGCCGGCCACAGACCTTTTGCGCGCCTGGCACTACGCCTGGCACTGCGTGTTGCACCCTATCTGTCACAATTTGTTGCGTCCTTGAATTGGTATTAGAGCCTCCCTCAAAAGGCTCTAGGTTGCTTCAATACACTGCTTGCAAAGCACCACACTCAGCCTGAGCACGGTGCCAGCATCATGTTCCCTTCTCCAGAGCCTCGTGTGACTGTTCTGGGATTCTCGTGTTGGGAGGACCCTGCCAGCCCCCTGCCAACAGCGGGGCACCGCGCCCCGCACAAGCGACGCTCCCTGCTGAGCGCCAGCCTCACCGCTGCGCCTTGTAGAATGGGCCGTGATACCAGCTGTCTTCCGCCAGCGGACTCCTATGGGAGCGACCTCTGCTCGCTCCCCTCTTCGTCGCCCAGCGATTTCAGCCACAGCGGTGAGGAGGAGCCCAGCAGCGAGGAGCACTGTCACGAGGACGCTTCTACGCAAGCCGTAGCCATACCCTACACCAGGTAGGGAGCCTTGCGCCAGCTCTTGATCGCCCGCCTGACCGGCCATCCGCGCCGAGCTCGCGGTGTATTGGCTCGCGCACCTAGTATCCGCGCACTTCACACCTTCTTTACCCCATTTCGATGGCTGTGAGGTGCGCGTGCAGCGGTCTGTGGGGCAGTGGCACACCCCAGTGCCTACTGCAGGGCCCGCGCTGGCCTTCATTCCTCCCCGCGCCCCGGCCCACCAACACACCCCCGCGCCCTCCCCGGCCCCCTGTGCCCTGTCTCTTCAGGGCGGCACGCGCGCGGCTCGACGCCGCGGAGCGCCAGGGGCGCGCGTTTGACCAGCAGCTCGAGCTCCTCGCCGCGGTCAAGGCGTACTTTGTGGATCACCAGCGGGCGCAGGCCGCCGCCGCCGGCGCCCAGGCCGCCGCCGCGCCGCACCCGCAGCTGTGACCCGGCGCGGCCCCCTCGCGCACGTGCGCACCGCCAGAGGGGCCGCTACGTCCGCCCCCGCCCCGCCGGCCATTGCCGCGACGGGGCGGGCGGGCGGCGGCGGCGGCGGGCATCGCCCCACCCCGTGCCCGGCTACCGGCATTCGAGCCGGGCGCGCCCCGCGGAAGGCCCCGCGCCGCGCCTCCACACGCCGCCCCTGCGCCGCGCCCTTGCGGCGTTCCAGTGAGCGCCGCCTCCCCCGGTCAGGCAAATTGCCTGCTGCCGGCCGGCCGCCCGCGGCCGGCCAACTTCTGACTGCAATCGTATCGGACGGGGCTCCCCAGCTCCCCACGTTTCCCCTCCCCGCCCGGCGGCGCCCCTGTATTCCGCCCGCCAACGGCTTGTCTAGCATTTGAGGCCGATCCGAAGCACTTGACAGGAAGCTGCCCCGAAGCTATCTATGCAGCAGCAGAACAACCCAACCGTAATTCACGGGGTCAGGGGGGCGGGCCGCGGGCCGCATGCTTCCGGGCCCCGGCCGCCCCGACAACACAACGACGACCCGATCGCTCCTGCGGGGCCGCCGCGCTTGCGAGCTCGGGCCTCTCGCGCGCGCTTGCGGCGCCGCGGCCTCGCGGCGCCGCCAAGTTTGAGAATCAATTGTATTGCTGGCCGAGAGGCGCGTAAGGGCGGCCGTGGGGCTCTAGGCACTGGCGCCCGAAGCCGTGCGCACGCTACGCCCTCCCCATGCGCTCGACCCACGCGCGCACGGGGGGAGCGCCGCGGCGCCGCGGCATCACGGGCGCCCAGCCTGCCCCGGCCCATGTGTGTGTACCCGTATTGAGGGAACGTCGAGAGCGAGTGCATGTGGTGATGCGGACAACGCCGCAAGTTGGACGCAGCCGGCGCGCCCCCCTTTCCGGGGGGCTGGCGCCCGGCGTTTGACCGGACCACGCTGCACGCCTGCGGCCGGCGCGCCCCCGCGCGCTAGTGGGGCCCCGCTTTGGCGCGCTGGGTCGGCACAAGCTTTGACGGAATGGGTGCGGAGTCTGTTTACACACACATACACACACACACATGCGCGCACAACACTCAGCCGGCCGGCGCCCACGCACTGATTGGAGACACTTACATTTACGCTTTTTTGAATCAACCCAAGTCGCTGTTTATACGCCCGCCTTCCGTCCGTTGCCCACTGAACGGCCCCGCGCGACGGCCCGCGTTTGCAGGGGCATGCGCCCGCCGGGCCCGGCCCGGCGGGGGCCGCCTCGCGCTCTCGACGGCCCCGCTGCTGCGCGGCCGCGCCCTTCTTGTTTCATACCGTCCGACAATCGTCCCAAAGCGGCCCCGTTGCTTTCTCCCCTTCTGTTGGTTGGCCCCCACCCTATGTTTCCGACGCTCCTCTTTGTATTGGCTGTCGCGCCCGCCCGCAGGGGCGAGGCGCCGGTGCCGTTTCCGACGGGCGCGACGCCGCCCTCGTGCCCCGCGGCTGCGGGGCCAGGGCCTGCCCCGACAGGGCGCGGCACGGCATCGCGACGCCCCCCCCATGAGACTCCGATGCACAGGCGCCCGCGCAACCCAACACTTTTTTTGCACAGCAATCCAATCCGGTCGCCCGCCAGCAACAGCAACATAAAGCGCGCCCACCCAACGCGCATGCGCCGCGCCGAGGCCCGGTGCGCTGTGCCCCGTGCCCTCGCGGGGCGGAGCGCCCGCCCCCCTCGGCGCGCCCGCGCAACCCAGCACTGCCGCCGCCCGCGCGCCCACCGCGTGCCAGCCCCGGCCGATTGACTATGCTTCCAAAGCGCCGGAGAGCGCCCCGAAACATGATCCAATTGTGTTGCCTTCTGCCGCCCCCTCACGCCCGGAAGCGTGGCCCCAGATCGACTATTGAAGCTCGTTGCCCGGCCTCAACCTGCGCGCCCGGCCTCCGCGCCGCGCCGCGGTCCCCGGACTGTTCCCCTGGGCGCGCACGCGTCCCCGCGCGCATGCGCGCGGGGGTCGCGGTGCGGGCCTGTTGGCTTCAATGTGGGCGAGCTGCAGTTTGAGGGACACACTCAGATTGACCGACCCTTGTCTTGAGCCCGGGCCCTGGCCTGCTGCGAGCATCGGAGCAGCGCCCGCCCGGCCCCGCGCGCCCCAGCCCCTCAGGCCGACCCGCGCGCCGCCGCCCCCTGGCCGGAGGCCGCGCGGGCGGCCCGGCGGGCCCCGCTGCCGGGTGCCCTCCTGTGCCGCGCGCCCCGCGGGGCGCAGCTTTTTATTGTTTCACGCGGCCGCTGCCGCAGCACTGCCGGCCCCGTGCCGTTTCGCCTCTTGGGAAAGCTCAACCCACCTTTACCCGCGCGCGGGGTATTCGACCGCGCTGCACTCTGGGCCGCTGTGCACATACAACATTTCCGTCACTTGCATTGTAAATCAATCCCCAGCCAGCAGTGGTGGCGCGGCAGTGGTGGTGGGGGCCAGCAGCGGTGGGGGCTGCGAGGGGGGCGCGGCTCGAGGCTTTGCGTGTTGATGGGACGTGAGGGAGACAGGGGGCGTCCCACCGGTCAGCACACACCCACAGCCATCACACCCTTCGCGCCAGCCGCGGCAGCTCACAACAGCGGCAAGCGCCAAATGCACGCCACACCCGCAGCGTGCATGCGGCAGCGGCGGCGGAGCAGAGGGGGGGGGCAGAACCGATCACTCAAGCGTATCGCGCATTTGCTAGATGTGAACCGCACTGGCCCCGCAGCTGCCAGAGGGCTTCTCTTCGATGTGGGTGCGGCGCCTCCGTGACAGATGCATCCCGCTGCCCAGGGCCCCCTGCTTGATTCTGAACTTGGCCCACAAACTGTGGAGTCTCAAGTGAGGCAGCCCGCTGCAGGAAGCGCCGCAGGATCGTGTCAGTGCTCAGCCAGTGTCAGAAACCAAATGAAACGAATGCGTCTCAGCGTTACATTAAAACCTGGCTCAGGGACGGGGCGGCACCCGAACAGCAGATGCTCGAGGGGGCTGCGCGCGAGGGTGCGACCCATCAGAGCGTGAACGCCTGCGCTCGGGTCACGCTGCGCCACCCCTGCGGGAAGTCAATCGGCAGCCGGCCGATCGCGAGCCACGCGTCACGAACCACAGCCCTTGCCAGGGGCGGCGCCGCGCCTATGCCTGTGCAGGCCGCTGCTTCTTCCGAGGTTGGGCGGCGCCGCCGCCGCCCCCCTGCCGCTGCTGCTTCTGTCCCTTGCCCGGCTGCCGCGCCGCCGGCGCCGCCCGCGCGCCCCCGCGCGACCGCTGCATTTGCCCTCGCTGCTGCTGCTGCTGCTGCTGCTGCTGCTGCTGCTGCTGCTGCCCCTTCCGCTTGCCCCGCGGCCCCTCCTCCTGCTCCTCCTCCTCCTCCTCCTCGCTCCCCTCGCTGCCGCTGCCGCCGCTGCCCCCCATCTCCTCATCCCCCTC